GGCGAATAATTGTTTTAGTATAATTTCAGAGCTGAACAACAGAGAAATTTATAAAATCATAACATTTTAGTAGCATTTATTAACATTTTTTTTTAACCTTTTATATAAACCGCGTGGAGCATTTTATATAGCGTCATATGAGGAACCGCTCGACCAATCAGAATGCTGGAAACTCTTTGCTCAGCTCTGAAATTATACTAAATGCGGTTAACCGTTAGCCGTAAAAAGGCAAAACAGTTTAGCCTATAGACGTTAAAACTGAAAATTTTCAACCGTCAGCTGTAAAATGACCAAAATTTTAACCGTTAACCGTAAGAGCCCCATAGAGACCCTCCTCTTCATTCTACGCTGGGCAACCGAAAAACGTGCACTTTGCTCGATCACTTTTCAGACACATAGAAGCGAAGAAAGCTTTGAACCATCTTGCCCTTTAAGATATTAACCATCTGAAAAGAATATAACCATCTGAACGATATTATAGCTTAATGTCTAAGAGTTTTTTTTAACAAAAAAAATCTCTGCATTTCTTTTGAACAGCATGATAATTCATATGCAGTTGAGTTGTAAAAAATGAATAGTGATACGAGATTTACTGCAATTTTAATTGCAAAAAAATTTTAATTTTAATTTTAAAAAACGTCACACGAAGAACAATGTTTGGCAATGGCGAGATAGGCTCAAGAGATTTTCTAAATGTTTACCTGTGTTTTTTGTTTTTGTTTTTTGTTTTTAATTTAATAGAGATGACTTATAGACATCACATGACACTGGACGGGCAATACTTAGCGCTTGAAATCATGGACACAGCCGGGGAGGTAAATATCATGAATATAAAAAACAATAAACGAGGTTGAATAAAAAAAAAAGAGTGCCACATATACTGGTCTGTCATTAAAAGACCGAAAATCTATCCCAGCTCCTTCTGAGTGGAAGGTTCGCGATGGCCCTGAATGGGCTGCAACTCCAACGTTAACGAAGTGGTAACCATCCTGCCACCTGTTAAAAGATTCCCTGATAGTCTACTAGTACCCACTTATACCCCCTGGGCGGGAAAAGGCACTGTAATAGTGACGTATCTTGCTATTAAATTCTCCTCAATAAACCGATTAGGACTAGAAACCAGTTTTCTCGGTCTGGAGTCTACGGACCCGACGCATTATCGGACCAAGCCACCGTGTCTTTCCCATGAAAGCAGATCACCGACTAATTAACAATTATTCCACGAGTGCGCGTTGGATATGAAATGATAGATAGCCAACTCGGCGCTACGCGCCTCGTTGGCTATAATCATCTCATATCCAGCAAGCGCGAGTGGAATAATTGTTTTATTAAAAACGCCCCCAAAATATTAGACAAATTTTACCAAATCTTAAATTTGTTAGCTCCCTTTTGATTTTAAGCTGACGCGTACGCTTGCCATATTTGTAGATTATGGTATATTGGCTCATATACCATAATGGCTAAGCCAATAAAAAGTCTTGAATTGCATTATCCAAAGATCCAGTTTTTAATAATACTGGATATTGTTCTTTCTTTCAGAACACAGCACAGAAGTTGGAGAAATGTGCATCTTTTGGAGACGTTTTCTTTATTCTCTTCTCTATCACTGATCGGTTTTCATTTCTGGAGGCGAAACGTTTGGGGAAATACATACGGAAAGTGAAAGACAATGATTATACCATGATTCTAGTTGGAACAAAGACAGACCTAAGTCGTTACAGAAGAGTCTCGAGAAACGAAGGGTTTGAACTTGCTAAGGAAATAGGATCAGTATTCTGCGAAATTTCAATCTCAGAGGGATTCGTCGAGACAAACTCCCTGCTGAATGATTCACTAAGACTGCAGCTGAGCAATAAAACCGACCAGGAAAATGGCGACAAAGAGAAATCGGGTCCTTTGTCCCGGATGAAGGAAGGTTTCAAAGGAATCTACACAAGGAGAAAGTCATGCTCACTTTAAACTTTCCATGGCTGGCTTTGATGTAGTCTAATTCTATGGCTAATTATAGACCCCATCTTGGTCACTATTGGTCTGAGACGATAATACGTTGTTAAGCGTGAATCTGCTCAATTTTAAATCGCTACTTACCAGAATTTTCTTACCCCCAAAATCCGAAAAAATGTGCAACTCCATATATTCTAGTACTGAACTCCCCCCCCCCTTCCCCCAGTATTGTACTCGAGATCATAACAGATTGAGTACCTCTTATGGAACTAAGGCATCAAATCATAAAACTTTGGACCTGTCATTTCTAAGAATAGACCCGTCGACAGAACATTCCAACTGGTCATTTCTTAAAAAAAAAAAAAAAAGTGTAAAGTGTTCATGATTTCCCGCTATTTTGGAGATGAAAATTAGTCCAAACGCAAATTTTGTTTTTGTAAATCAGTTTCATCTTGGTGAAGGGAGCTTCTTTAAGGTCATTACTTGTAATGCTATTTATTTTTAGGACTGTTATGGTAGGAGAAAAAACAAATCGATATTGGGACTGATTTAGGAAAGTGTGATGTCACGCAATGAGATATTGCGAGCGTAGAACGGTAAAGTTGTCAATGCACTAATAAACAGCCACCTGAGTTTGATCTTTGCACCTTGACTTGTCATGCAACACGCGCGAATAGTGGAAGAACCATAGCTGTATCTTTCTATTAAACGAAACAATGTCAACAAAATTTAGAACAGAGACGGGAAGAAATGCTAGAGATACAGAAATAGCGTGGTCGAAGAAAACCGGTTTGTGTTGCGCATGGCATGTACAAGTGGTTAGCTATTCCCTGTTTAGTTTTGGCTCGATGCGCGTCACCATTGTACACTGGTTCGTATTGCATTGGCGACAGAAAGGGGAAGTCAATAACGTTTCATCGGGTACTTTTAACCTTACTTTGACCTATAATTAAGCTTGAACCCAACATCCATTCGCCTGACGACCAAAATAGTGTAATATAAAACTATGTTGCCTCGCAGGTTTGCGCCACCCGACTTCTCGCAAGAACGGTCAAGAACCGTTCAGTTTTCCGAGCTGGTTGTTGTTTTTGGCTCTTTTTAACTTCCAGCCGGAAGACATTCAATTACATTTAAAAAATCCTCGAATGAACATGTAGAAATATATCTTAAACTCACCGCATGCAAATCCTTTTTGTCGATTAAAGTCGTGATCCGGAATTTGTCGCAAGAGACTTGTTCGTCACGCTTAAATCCCGCGCTAAGTTGTCACGTAACATCTGTCAAGAATGTAACACAAAACCCCCTCAGTCCTCATCGCAAGGTCTTCTCATTATGCGTCACAAAGTGCAAAGTTCATGTAGGATTTTTTTTTTCCGTCTTCTTCATCGGTCACAAAATAACAAAAAAATTGAATAAACATGTGAGTATTAGGGGGACAATCGTTTCCTTAAAAATTGGAGAGAGACTTTGAAAAGTTCAATTTTATCAAGCGAATTCGAAAGGGTAAATTTCTGTAATTTCTCTCCGCGTAAGGCATGGGTCGCACTGTGGCCTTACTTTTTTTATGTCGCGTCATAAGATGTATTTGCGTGGGAGTTGACCGCAGCGAAGCCGTGAAAATAAGCGGCGAAAACCAGGTGAAATGAATCATTTTCTCTCAAAAAAAAAAAAATTACCAGTTACCCTGATGTTACGCTTTAAAATGTTTCTTGTCGCAATAAAAAGGATTTCCGCAATAGAGTCTGACTCTCTTTTCGAGACTCACTCTCTCTAAATTGACGGCTTTTATTTAGAAGCTGTACACATTTTCTAAAGGAGAAAGCATCAATTACTGCTTTGATCCGAAAGTGGTAATTAGTGACAGATGAAATTAATTTGTTTTGACAGCTGAAACTCGTAACACCAACAGACAAAAACGTGACTCGGGCATTCATTGCATGAATAATTCACAGTTATTTTGCTAACGAAATGAACAAAGTTTGTGGCAGTTGGTATTTCGACTATTCTCGAAGTATTTTGAATCCCTCCTGGTTTAAAGAAGCGATTTAGAAATGCTATGCCAACGTCTCTATAGAAACATCACAAGGTTCCTTTATTTTGGACAATAATAGCAAAGCCCCAAGGGAGCTAGTCGCCCTAGGTCATCAAGCGCAGTAGTGCCGTGCGGTCTCGAGACACACTCAAGACTCCCTCTCTCTTTGAATTCAAGAGGTTGTCTGTTTTGTTGTCGTGGCTAAATGGCACAGGGAAAATTTGTATTCTAGCCTTTGAAGTCGAAATTTTTTCCGTCTACGACCATGAAGAAAAGACGCAATGGGGTCCATGTACACCATCATACTTTGAAAACCATTCGAGCTGTTGTGGTGGGAAAAGATGGCGTTGGAAAATCAGGTGGGTTCATAAAAGTATTCATAAAAGTATTATAAAAATAAATCGTAAATAGCTCTCAATAGTAACCTACAATTCAACTGATAGTTTTACTTGCTCCTACACTAAAAGAGTCTCAAATTGATCGAAACATTGGAAGTTTCTAGTCGTCACACCTTGGACCAGGAAACTGTCAATGCCGCAAAGCATTCAAATTAAACATGTACGCGTTCTATTATGACTGAACATAGAAATCCGGAGAAAAATCCGCTTTTGTTTTCCTTTATCCCCAAGCTTATGAGGTGTCATAATACGTTTTGGTATGTCTGCCCGTTTTTTAAAAAATGCCTAAGCAATGGCAGAGGAATTTTAGCACTATTTAAATAGATGACTTGAATTCGAAATAACAATCTTGTAAATATATAATGCCTTGAATAACGTCAATCATTTACTTTGTCTTGCTTTTTTTTAGTCATGGTTGTTTTCTCTCTCTCCCTCTTTCATTTTTCTTTCAAAAATAACATAAGGCAACATAAGGTACCAAATTGTACTGCGGAGATTGTGAAATTTAGGTTTATCCACATCGTTTTAACAAACACCTCAAAAGCTGTCGCTTACGTAATCTGGAATGTTTCGTAAATATTAGCTATTAAACTTGCTTAGCTTTGTCTTTCTCTAAAAAGATTAAATGAATGGAAAAAATTTATTTGCAGTGGTTTTCGATGCAATACATGAGGTCGAACTTCACTTGATAATAGCGAGAACCATGTAATGGACTCTTGACACTGAATATCTCGATTGGTCGATCGTGTTAATCGAAAAAATATTTTTCTTGTGAATGTCCATCGAATAATTTAGCGGAGAATAGGCGGTATAAAATGTAGATCATGTTAGAAAAAAGAACTGTGTGAAAAACTCGAGAGCCAGTCGCAACCTTGCTCGAAAAATTAGAACCAACTGAATCGTATTTATAAGAATTTGACTAGGTTTCCGTCTATAAAGACTCGTTGGTTTTGGGTATATACGTATTACTTTTTTCCCCTAGCGATCACGATGCCCTAAGCCAAAAAATTTAGCTGGTCACATTTTTATCGACAGAAAAGTAATCAATGTCTGGTTTCTCTACTATAACTTCATTTTAATTACATCATGATGATCTGCTGAAGCAAGAACCCACGTAATCTCATTAATGATCGTGTGAATTTGCCCTTCAGCTCTCACAGTCCGGTTCCTGACCAAACGTTTCATTGGCGAGTACGACAGAACATTGGGTAAGTTCGCAAAGTGATTGATATGAGGTTTCTCCACTTTTCTGATCTTGCCAATATCTGGAAAAATTTCAAGTCCAATGAATGTTTTCCTTGAAAGTGATCGGATCTTTGCGTTTGCGCAAAGATCTCTGGGATCGCCACGGGGCAAACATTGTAGCCCGCTAGAAAGAAATGTATGGCGAATGGCAGTTTCGACGTCCAACCTATGTATCTTAGAGAGATATCGCTTTTTAGCTTTTTAGTTTTGTCGTGTATATCTTCTGTGCTCACAAAGAAGGTAGCAAAGGGTATAGCTCCTGTTTCTTTGCGTCGTCTCCTCAGTTATTGGGTACACCTGTTGACAAGCAAGTCTGGGTTGGATGGTTTTATTAGTCTGAGAGACCCGACATCTTTTGCAACAGTAACCAATCGTCAACTTGACTGGCTTTCAAGGAGTTAACGGGGTTACCCTTGTTTAAACAAAAAAAACAAAAAAAAACCTCACCGCGAATTACCGGAAGCTCAACCACGGACAAAATTTCTGCGAAAATCATTTGCTCAATTGGTTAGAGCGCTGGACTGGGTAGAGCGCTGAACTGTTGTGCGGAAGGTCGAGGTCGATGGTTCGAGCCCCGGCCGGACCAACACTCAAGGTCTTAAAACAACTGAGGAGAATGCGCTACCTTTCTATAATATCAAGAAATGGATAGACATTCTAGTCTTCTCGGATAAGGACGAATAAACCGTAGGTCCCGTCTCCTGGATCTAGTAATTAGTTAATTTGGTTAAGCAGGGGACGTTAAAGAACCCACTCACGAGATTACTGTGATGTGGTCTGGCCTGTTTACTGGGTAATTGCGGGGAGGGGGCATCTTCAAATAAGTTTCCTTTGATTGTTTGTAAACTGCTGATGCAGTCCGGCCAAAGTCCCCCGAAAAGTGTTGATGCACATTTGATCACATCTACCTGTTAATTTGCGCAATATAAATATTAAATTATTATTATTATTATTATTATTATTATTATTATTATTATTACTCTACACTGATGGAATGAGATGAGAAACAGGGGTAGTCCGTTGTCTATATCAATGTACTTTTAGCTATAATTTTAACCTACTTGAAACACGCGAATTCACTTAGTATGAAATAGCCGAGCAGCGAGAAAAAATTGCTGCTAAATTTGAGATCGCAACTTTTAATCAGTGTTTTTCCATTTTCTTTTAACAAAAACAATGACGCCACTGAGGTAGGTCTTGACTGATAATGAAGACCAACGTAGCATCGCCCTACTAGACTTAAAATTTGTGCTCTTTGCTACACCAGTTATATACTGAGCTTACTGGAAGTATTCAAATAAATTCACATTCATTAGATAACTGAAAAAAAAAAAAAAACGGGTTATGCAGTGACGTCGGAACGATCTTTTTTCTTGCACGTGCTCAACCTTTCCTGGGAAAATGCGTTCGTGCAAGGTTCCTGCTTGTTGTCGACTCAGTTTTTAAGGAAAATTGTAATTGCATTGAATAAATTTCCCATCAGGGTACAAACTGTCGGCGGTTTCCCAGGTCTTTCATTAGTTTTGGTGTCTTTTACTCCACATTCCTGGTCTAAGACGTCGCAACTGGTAGTTGCGGTTCACGTTTCATGGGCTTAATACTTTGCGTTATTTTTTTCCGTGATTTAATGCTCGTGATGATAAGCAAGTCTGGATTGGAGAGCTTTATCTGTCTGAGAGACCAGACATCTCGTGCTGCAGTGGTAATCAATCGTCATCTGGATTGGTTTACGCCGAGTTAACGAGGTTTTCTTTATTTTTCAAAAAACGTGACGTGGGAGCACCAGCACGTGAAAAAATTTCTGCGAAATTCTTTAATTGGCAAACTTAAAAAAATTAGAGTGAATTGTCTCAAGCCCTGTGACCCGTAAAGGTGACTAGGATTTAATTTATCTTAACAGCATCTCTACTGAAACAAATAGTGGTGTCCTGAGAATAAAGGAAATTATTACCAACAAAAGAAGCTCTTGATTGTTCAACAATCCTTCTAGCTAGATCTTTAGGAAATGTATAGATAAAAGTATGGAGAATGCGCATGCTGATCACAGGGTGTAAACGGTTAAGTACCCCACCGCTGATCAATTCTCGTCCACCGGGGAACTATATTCATTTGATCAAGTAAGAGTAAATAAACGAGGGTAATCATGAAATGTTTCTTTTGACACGCAGAGGCAACTTACCGGCATCACTTGTTGGTTGATGGCCAGTTTGTGCCATTGGACATCATGGATACAGCAGGAAAGGTACACTAAGGACCAATCTTTATTAGTCGTCGGGGGGGGGGGGTTCAGGGGTTTGCCTGTATCACGATAAAATTTACCTGATCCCTCCTCAAGGCTCCGTAATATTCTTAGAGTTCCCTTTCCCCCCCCACCCCCCATTAGCGGTCAATTGGCAGTCAATTTTCTGTAGTTCTTCCCCCTTTTTACTTTGTCGGCGACGACTGAACCCCCTCCCCGTCCCCCCTCAAAACCACGTGATCTCAAAAACCTTCACCCTCCCTTCCTCAGTGATAAATAATCACAGTTCAATAAAGCATGGGGTCTTTTGTCTTTCGTGGCGCCCAGAAGACTGAAAATCAATGCCGCGCAAGGCTAGGGCAAAGGAGAACTGATGAGCCCTTTCTTTTTCTACGGTTCTTCGCGCTATTCACCGCTTCTTCGCATTTTGTGCAAGCTTGGCTGGAAAAAAAATAAAAACCGGCTAGGACAACATTCAAAAGCTGGCTTACTGACTCTAGAGGATGTTTTAACTATCTTGAGGTCGTTCCTCTCAAACAGAACCTGCACTGAGAATTTAAAAACTTTACCAGTGGGTTGTTTATCTTCAAGGATATCCACCTACTTGAATTTGCTTTTTTTTCCAGAATTCCACGGAGAAGATGCAACTGTGTATGTCTTTCGCAGAGCTCTTTTTTGTGGTTTTCTCGACAACGGATCGGACGTCGTTTGAAGAAGCATCACTTCTGGCTCGTTACATCATACAAGGCAAACCTCTGGGTCCCACTGGCCCAACTATAATGATAGTGGGAACCAAGGCTGACCTCGAGTTCGCTCGAGAGGTCGAGGAACAAGAAGGAAGGCTGCTAGCTGAAGAATTAAGCTGCGGATTTTATCAGGTTTCCAATGCAGAGGGTTATTTGGAGACACAAGAGCTGCTATTTGATTCAGTGAAACGTTGCCTCGACAAAGGCAAATCTTCGGCGTTAACAAGAGTCAGAGAAGGAATTGTAGAAACGGCGAAGTCATTCCGAAAGAGATCGTTAGGCCACGAAGTGGCTAAGTCCCAGCGCGAGGGATTGCAAGGGACGAGACTCAGGTCATTCAGCGATGTTGATCCCATCCACGAGGCTTCTAAGGTTAAATCTTCCAGTCAAGAAGATTTATCCCAAGATGGAGAAAACCATCGAAATTCAGTTGTATCGACGGCAAGTTTTTAAAAGTATTCCTTGTATGAAATTTGAAGAAGCAGAAATCAAGGTCGTGAAAAATTGTCACGTGACACAGAAACGCAGATTAAGGGGGAAGAAAAAAATTCAAGAGGAATCTAACAACAGCAAGTCGATAGCATGATTAAGGAGTTTTGAATAGAATCGAATACCGAGAAAAAAAATTTGCAGATTATTTGTTACTTTCAATTGGGGGATTAGCTTATTATAGATGCTGGAAGAAACTTATCACTGACTGTAGCTGTTTAATACGATGCTTTTAAATGTTAATAAGTAGTTTCTCAGAGATCGACTTTGAAATAAATGCTAGCGCTAAGAAGTCACGACGTTTCGACCTCTCTGAGGTCATTTTCAAGTGAGTAAGTTTTCCAAATCAGCATAAATATGTTGAAGCAAGTTGAAGACGATAAAATGTGGCGAACGCTAAAATATGTGAAAAAGTGTAAACAATATACAATGGAAGAGAATAAAAGAATCAAGGAATAAAATAATAAAATAATCGTAGCACGAATTGTACTTAACTAATAGTTTGGCGCGAATTTTGCCTGATCCGGAAGCAGCCTCAGAATTTCTGGAGACATTGAACAAGTTTCATCCCTCTATTGATTTCACAATGGAACTCCAAGTAAATGGTAGGCTTCCCTTTCTCTGAATGGATGTTATCAGGAATGGTTGCGGCCTAGACACCATGGTCTACAGAAAACCGACGGAAAAAGGGCTTTTGCTACACTATCACAGTCACGTTGACGCCAGATACAAACGGTCACTGCTGATCACCATGCTAAACCGTGCGTTTCATCTCTCGTCTACGTGGAAGTTTTTTCATGAGGAATGTCAACGCCTTAAGAGATCTTCTCCCGACTGCGCTATCCTGACGACCTTGTGCAGTCAACCATTCGCAGATTCGTTGAATCAAAAGTGTCTGAGGATTCACATACCCGAATGGCTGATAAAAGAGAAGCCCCAGTCAGAATCGTGTTGCCTTACAAGGACCAGAAATCTGCAAATGTAGTACGAAAACAGTTGGCTGACCTCAGTCGGAAGATCAACGTAGATGTTAGCCCAGTTTATACAGTCAAGTAAAAAGATCAAGAATGAAATTACGGTCAGGGAAGACAAACCGCCTCTTGTGAGTCAACAATGCGTGGCGTATTCATTTCAGTGTGGCCTGTGCGATGCAGGCTATGTCGGCTACACGTGCAGGCTATGTCGGCTACACGTGCAGGCTATGTCGGCCACACGTGTCGACACTTACACCAACGAATTGAAGAACACGAAGGATCGGCAATCGGACGCCACCTCAGAGAGCAGCTCGACATGGAGCCAGAAGACATCACACAGAGTTTTCGAATCTTAAGGAAGTGTCAGAACAAATTTGACTGTCTTGTTTTTGAAATGTTTTTTATCAAAGAACTGAAACCAACGCTAAACAAACAGTGCGATTCAGTTCGCGCCAAACTATTTTTTTAGAACAATTCGTGCTACGATTATTTTATTCTTTTATTCCTTGATTCTTTTATTCTCTTCCATTGTATATTGTTTACACTTTTTCACATATTTTAGCGTTCGCCACATTTTATCGTCTTCAACTTGCTTCAACATAATTTATGCTGATTTGGAAAACTTACTCACTTGAAAATGATCTCAGAGAGGTCGAAACGTCGTGACTTCTTAGCGCTAGCTTTTATTTCAAACTTTTAAATGTAAGAGAAGAAAATTCTCATGATATATCCATTGATTACATTTCTTGTAAATGTATGGTATCTTGATATCAGTGAAATGTATGTTATATTCAAGTCATGCGCACTGAATAAATTAATTTTCTGGAAAAGATAGTAACTGCACCTTTACGTTTGCCTTTAAAACGCGCATTTTTGTCATGATACTATCACCTAACGACATACTTTATATACAACTACAAACTTTACAATTTAGCTGTTATGTATCAAACGCATTCATGTCAAAGGCGCCTGTGCACGTGGTCATCACCCAGTAGGTCTATCTAAAAGGTCAGGCCTCGTTTCCTGTAAAGTGACTTGGTTCGCACAAGGAGGCCCTCCCTAAGTTTCCTTAGCCCCAGTCCCCTTTTTTGCCGGTCTCGGTCGGTGTACCGCGACTGCAGATGCACTCTGATCGCATCTTGGAACAGGTTCAGTGTTTCTTCGTATCCTTCAGCACTGGAGATCTCGTGATAGGTTCCTCCGAGCTCATTGGCGAGTGTCCTTCCCTCAACTTCGGGAATCTTTCGGTATTCCGACAAGTCTCGTTTTGTCCCGACTACAATAATGCTGTACTGGCCGCTCGTCATCGTTGTCTTCAAATATTGACCGAGTCGTTCGACCTCTTTTAAAGAAGATCTGTCGGTGATGGAGAACAGCAACAAGAACATGTTTCCGAAGGGTGAGCACTGACTCAGTTTTTCTTCAGTATTCTGTAAATGCAAATATTATTAATATTTAACATTACTTTATCGATTATTATTATAAATGTAAGTAACTTTTTATGGTGCTGTTTTGCTTTTTACTGGTAGAATAGAACAGCTCACCAGAGGTGAGCACGAAGCGTGTGTTAAATGCGACTCCCACGCGAGACCCCGTTTTTGACAGAACCCTGGGAATAAGATCACTCAAAAATGTAAAGTTCTCGTTTTTACGCCTGTTTTGAGAGCTCTTTTGTTTTTGTGGCTAACAAACCAGATAAAAGGATATTATAATTAAGCAACTAAGAGTACAGTAAACTCCATTTTTTCCCTTCCCCTTTTTTGTCATACACAAGTTAGATCAATATTTCACCTTGCCGGCTGTATCCATGATATCCAGTGCAATGAATTTCTCTTCCAGCTTAAAGTAATGTCTGTAGATTGATTCTAAGTATAAAAAAACCAGAGAAAAATCTTATTTTCCAATTTTGGTGGGAAGCTAGCCCGTCAAATCTCATTGGCATTTTGTCAAGACAGGCGAAGCTATGGGAGACGAGCCGTTTCAACAGTGGTGAAGCAATTTTGCGAAGGGGAAGATAAATTTTGCTATGAAGAAGGCCGTGATCATCACGTTATCTTGTTCAAAAAGCGCTAGATGACTGGAATGGTTTATCTCTCTTTAAGACAATTAGATACAAAATAATCAGTACAGCTATGACGATTAATTATAATACAATTTACATTTGTATTGCTGGAGAAGATCAAATAGAAAGCTGTAAAAATACCATCTTGTAAAATCCTTCATAGTAAAGTTGGAGCAGTTGTATTGAGTTACTGGAAAGCCGATTGCTATGCAATGGTGTTAAAAAAAAAAAAAGGGCTGGAAGAAGTCGATTCTGAAGACTGTTCAAATGAATGCCTCACGAGCCGAAATTAAACCGTATGTGGACACATCTTTGAATATAATGCGATAGTCCGAGAACTTATTGTGCGCTCCTGACCAGTTAGTGTTGATTGCCGGGGGGGAAGGATTTTGGGGGAACGGAGGGGGGTTCAGTCGTCGCCAACAGAGAATGAAGGGGACTATGAAAAAATTGACTGCCAATTAACTGTCAACGAGGGGGGTATCATAAGATTATTTGCCCCCCCCCCCCTTCATTCCTATCGTCAAAGCTGAAGTGAATCAACTCTTCAAGCTTCAGTGCATATTTATAATCACGGGCCAATCTCGTGTAAGTGTAATCCCAAGCCCAGTTGGAGTCATAATGATAGATAAAAACGTGATTGCGGTTAAAAATGTGCATGAAAACTTTAAAAGTTGAAACGGCAGGATTTTAAGCTTTTGCGTTTTATGCATATTTTATCCAGATTAACGTTTTTATTTGTCATTATACTATTTATACTTTGCTTCGTAATTGAATTACGTAACTCCAACCCTATACAGGAAACAGGCAATTATCACGGAATAGCCCGACTCCTAACCTGAGTGGGCTTGTCTCTCGCTGAGGCACCGGATGTTCTCAAAATCTTTTCACTGTTTGTCGCTTCGTTGTGTTTTCAATCCACAGCGCTGGATCCCTGGTATATATTTTTTATTTGGTTTTATGTTGTTTTATTTTTCCATCCCTGCTCCTCAATGAAGATTTGAAAGTTAACCTTTAATGCGCTAACATGCGACCATATTTTCTTTAAAAGCGAAAACCCTACATACCAAACTAATCTAACGAATGGCTGCCAGTGGTCATATTTTTATCATGTGCTCACCCTTTTTTTCGTGAGAATTTTTTCGATTGTAGCTGGCAAAAAGCAGCGAAACGCTATTTACATCGGTCAACGCTATCTTCCCATGTAGGAATCATCTGTTCCAAGTTTGGGCTCATTCTTTGAAAACCAAACTCTTCACTGAGAGTAAATGGCATGCACTCATTATCAATCCAATCGAAGAGAATGAAACTGAAGTCTGTTTGCAGTGTCGTAAGTTATTTGAGAGCGATATCTTTGCTCTTAACTTTTTAGGTCCTTGCAGTGGCTTAGAAAAACAAAATATTTTACGGAAAAGGACCCCTAGCTACCTTTACAGTGTTGTCGGTTTCATTCTTAACTTGTAAAGCTTCTCTTATCCTGCTTCACTCAAATAACTAACTCTTCGTCCTGATTATAACTTCACGGGAATATATTCTGAAAAATCTTACATTGCGCATGAATTCTACAGATGTACTTTCAAAATGTTTTCTCTCTTTTTTCGCATTCTTCTGAGAATGATAGCAAAATTGGTAACCTTAAAGATAAAACGAATCGAGTTTTGTTACTTTGTGTCTTTTCAAACCGCTCAAAGGGAAAACCAGCTTTGAAAAACTGTAGTCTCCTAAGGCTAAATTTTAGTAATGCTTGATGTCTTGTGTTGACAAGTATCAGCATTCCTCAAGTTCTTCTGTTTAATTTTAGAAGCCAGAACAATTCAACAACACGATTAAAAAACAAAAGAAACCTTTTTGGCTGATAAATCCGTTTAAATACTAAACCAATAAGATATTTGTGGGCCGCTGTAGCAAGAGGCGCGCTAAGTCAGCTTAGTCCGGAAAGCCCTGAGCCCAGCTAATGTAATTTGACAGATGCAATTAACCCAATTAACTTCACAGACGCAGGTTGCATTTTAACACTGAAACTTACCAAGAGAGCTGTCGTATTCGCCGATGAAACGTTTGGTGAGCAGGCGAACCGTCATAGCTGCAAGAGAACGGGGAAAAATATCAAAAGATTTTGTCGCACAACACTGATGTTGTGCGACAAAATCTGCTGACAGCGTGCGCGACGAATCAAATTGTGCAATCGTACAGCGCCAGGCGCCTGTTTGCAAAACGATGTATTTGCTGAAATTGTTTAGATTCGCATGCTTACAAAAACAACGGAATCAATTATTGTTTATTTTTCGAGCGTATTAAAGCCCTTCTTAGCAGCCTCCACGTTACCTTGATTCTCGACAATCAATTCATGCTATTTATGGTCATTTCTGCATGTGTACCCAGAGACTTTTTACCAGAAAAGGGTAGATATCTCCTAATTTAACTTAACAAGGTTTTATCCCTTTCCAACCTCGATCTCTGAAGCCAGCCGCTGACTCGAAATGCATGATTCACTTTTGTAGATAGTAGAGTCCTTTACAGAGTTTGTCGAACGTACTGCCTTGTCTGGCAGTTGTGCAAAATTGCGTGAACCCGCCTTAAAAGAAGAATTTTTTTTAGAACTGAATTTCTAATAGAGTGCAGAGGTGAACTCGAGGCCTACCGTTTTGCCTTAAGATAGTGTGCTGAACAGTAACAACTTGTTCACAAGAAGATTCTTACCGGATTTACCAACACCATCTTTGCCCATCACCACAGCATTGATTTTCTCCAAGCCGCTGGTAGGGGTTCCCATCTTTCTCTGTCCCATCTCTTTCTCCACCGTCCGTCAGAGGCAGATCTCGAGCTCTGTCGCCGTGCATAAATTACCTAATACAACTGATATAAATTGGGAAAATGGCAGTTCGGAAGAGTGCTTCTAAGCCGAAACGCTTTGAAAGTATTAGTAGTGTTTTTCGCATTGGACCTCGTATCAAACTGGAGATAATTTCGTCACCAAAACAGTTTAACAAGACGGGGAGTTAATGCGACAAGAGAGCTGCAAGATGCTGAAAAGAATCGCAATGATATTTTAATACTTACGGTTACAATAGTCTTCCAGAAACTTCTTCCTTAGTGTTTTTATGATCGTTCCTGCAGTGCCTTCACGGAGTGTTACTGCAACAGCATCGATATGTCTCTTAATGGCTCGGAGCTGGTGCTTCCCATACAAATATCGTTTTCTTCTAATGACCCTATTGTGTTGATGTGACGATCAAGACATGTTTGATGACGCATTTAGGTAATATCATTACGTTTACACATCACGTGTTCAAGCTTTGAGCTCTATTATTGGCTGAAAACCGGCCAGTGCATTCCAAACACTAGCATAATCATTAGGTAGTAAGTATATTTTGCAAGACGAGGATAACCTGTTGACAAATGATAGCACGTGTTATTTACCGAGTGTTTCGCATGTTTTGTTATGAAATGTTCAACTTGCAACAAAACTTTGCAAAAGCCGGAAAATGTTTGGTTTGCGCTGATCTTAGATCAGGCTGTTGCAACGTCTTTCCCTGCGTTCATATTTCAGGTATACAGAGCTTCATTCCCTTTTAAAATCTTTAATGTATCTAACAATGAAACGAACACACTTTCTCATATATGTTCAGCTTTTTTTAGAACCTTTTATGGAAATGCGGCTTCTTTCGATGAATTGCGCAATGCTTTAAGTAACATACCTTATCTAATTGTGTGACTTGCAACATACCCAAACTGATCCAGATGGGAAATCGACACTGCATGATAGTGCCGTCAGAAAAGATGGTTGGCCCCTTCCACACGTTTCCTTTGTTCATGTTTTCAATTGACACGTTGTATTTTTGAATCGCTATTGCCCTTCCACACGAAAACACAACAATTAATTCGACAAAAACGGCAGCATCCTTAATGGGAGCAGGCCTATTCAATGGGATCTTCTGCTAATTTGTAGACAGAGCCTCAAGTCCTTGTAGAATTCTCCATCCAGTCTTCTGGGATGACAATTTTGTTGAAAAAGTTGTTCCTTCACGAACTTACGTGTCCTGGTCGAACTCAAGATTGGCTAGGTCTTGTTTGTCGACCTCTAGGATTTAATCGTTTGATGTCCTAACCCTAACCCGACACCGGTAAGGAAATAAGGCTGATTGTGTTGCGTCGTCTCTTGCATACATATAATCGCCTTACACATTTAATATCACAAACTGCATTTGAAAACATGCCATGATGCTTGCAATTGCAAGAAGCTCAGGTAGCGGTGAATGAATGCCACAATACGTCTATCCGCCATATGCACGTTACTTCCGTCCTATCTCGTGCGCAGGCTAGATTGAGTCACACACCGTCGCATTATCGTTTTCCAAAAACCTCCCTTTCATTAGCCCTCACGAGTACAGCAAAACAGTGTTTTTATAAATCCCCAGTCTGCAGAACGTTTTTGAAAAGATACGTTCTCGGTGACCTTTTTCACTGGATAGATGTGAGTCAAAGGCCAGACCGGAGTTAAAAATCTCCGTTTTCAAGCAAAAACAGACACTTGTTAACGGTGCCAATAATGTTAATCTTTGATTTGTTTTTTATTGTTATTATTTTGTTCCAACCACCCTGAAAGAGCTAAAAACAGGCCGAAAATGGATCGAAGCTGTGCGCATGAGATTTTCACTGAGCTTTCCGAACAACAAGTGATAGACTCATTAATGCTCGTGTACATGTATCACGCCAATCAAAAGCCACGAATCCAATGATATTTTGACAAGTGGAAGGACCTCAACTGATGAGTTAAAATGTATATGCTCGTACATGAATGATTAAATTAAAGGCAAGCAAACGCCACGAATCCAATGATATTTTGTCAAGTGGAAGGACTTCAACTGATGAGTAAATATGTCTATGCTCGTACATGAATGACTAAATTGAAGACAATTAAAAGCCACGGAACCAATGACGTTTTAACAAGTGGAAGGGCTATAACTGATGATTAATAAATGTGTTCATTTATTATTGACACTGTACATTGTGCAGTATGTCTAATCCTACTGTCGATAACAAAGTTTAAAATTTTAGAACGAATGTATAAAGCACAAGCTCGTACGTATGATACTATTATTATTATTTTTTTTTTATCAAACTGCCAAACCTAAATTGTGTATTTTTTTAAAAGTGAAAAATTCGTGCATTTTATTAATAGGAAACCATTCATTATTTATGGGCTGAGGGGGAGGATTTGAAGGGGAAAGAATTTGGGGGAGTGGGAGGATTTGAAGGGGAAAGGATTTGGGGGGTGGGAGGATTTGGAGGGTGGGTTACATGGTTTTCAGGAGGAAGAGGGTCAACAGAGTATAAAGGAGGGGCTTTAAAAAACGAGAGGGGGGTGATAAAAGTATTACAAAGCCTTATGGGAAGATCAGGTAAAATTTCATCGTGACACAACCAAAATTCTCATGATACATGGAAATAATGACTACGGCGTTTTCATTTTTTTTCAGGCGATAATTTGGGCTACTCCCGAGATGCATGTTGGGCCTGTTTCAACTCTAACTCGTCATCCTCCTTCAACTTCTCATCGTCTTCAATAGGTGGCAGTTCTATGAAGCTGGGTGACAAAAATACAATCAGTAAGTGTTGAGTACTTTCACATTCCATTGTTACCCTTTTGTCGCCGCGCCCACGCGTGTTTTCGTTTGGAAGAGGACAGAAAGTCTTTCCAGTAAAGAGTTTAAGCGTGTTTTTATGCCGTCCACGCGCTAAGATAATATCACGTGTAAACGGAACAGTTATGGCTAACATCAGTCTCATTAATTAAGTTTTGTTTGTGCAGTAAAAGGAACATCGGAGTAAACTTAAAGAACACAGGTACAGAGATACTTCAGTGGGAATATAACTAGAAAAGCCATGTGGTTTGACGTGGCATTGTGAATTGGTAGGAGAGGTAGTCGGCAAACACACTTACCTCACGAGGACAAAGGGAATTATGATGAACGCTGCACAGATAAGGAAGACCAGACCTTGAAACGTCAAAGCAAGTGTTGCCTGGTAAACTGTATTGAAGAGCACGGCGCCTATAAGCTGCATCAGTGCGATGACCATTTCATAAGCAGAAAACATAGCACCTGAAACATGAATGGAGCAGGGAGAAATTGGTGAGGGTCGAGAAGCTTGCTCGTTAAACTTTCTGCTTTAGAGTACGCAGACATCTTTTATTAGGGTATCCCAAAAAAGGTAGAGCAAAGGGAGGGCCACCCTTAACTGGTCATAATTCCCTTTTTTACAAACTAAAACTTCTTTTGTCATCTATTGCGGCAAATTGAGTTCCTTCTACTGCGTAGTACAGCGACTTTTGGGTGTAATAATACTAAGCCTGGCAAAAACGGAGACAAAAGGGACAATTCTACATATATATATGCTAAACTTATTTTGTTTTCCCTTCCATAATTCTCTGTTCATATTAATTCTTTGTGGTAAAGCCTAAAGAAAAGGTTTCTCTGCCTTTCCTTTAAATTAGTTTAGGGGAGCACAGGAAAAAAAAATAAAACCTGCACAAAATCGGCATTTTCATGATTTTGTTAAGTTTAAGACGGACTGCTTTATTGAGCTTGCTTTAACGTAGTTATCATTGTCGAGATTTTGTGCTAGAATTGTTTCAATTCTTTAGCTAATTTCTTCTGCAGTCCGTCAAATCGCTACACGCTGATTTATTCATTTAATTGAATGCCAATCAGGGTACCAATTGAGGACCCACCGAGCCCCTCTACTTTGACTCCACTCGGACCACTTTTGTCATTGCATTTGTATCTCAGAAGTATGCAGTAAACCTATAACAAATGATCTCAGTATATGACCTGGGTAGCTCGCTAACACCGATTATTCTCTGAAGCTCACTCTTGGTAGACAACTAAGTGAGGAGCGAATCCTCAATGAAAAGCTTCAGAATTAGAATTTCTACCATGCTCCTAACAAATGCTTGAAATCGTTGTTGATTGTTTTCTGTACCTTGCTCTTCATCTGACACAATCCGCGACATTGCTCCCACCAAAACTGGATCCGCGACACCGTAGAAGACGCCGACCACGACCGCTGGAAGAAGCAAAGAGAAAAATTTGTGAAGTACTTAGTTACTGATAATGCGAGAATAAGTGGCCACCTTTTCTCCATTTTAAGGATCGGTCATTGTTTATCGTCTGGGGAGGGGGGGGGTACTAGTGTGGTTGTGTCACAAATAAATTACCTCACTCATTTTCCCATGAGGTTCTTTAATATTCTAATGATACTAGAAGTCTCAATAGCCCCCCCTTTAAACTCTGTTAAAGGCGACTGATCCCCCCTTAATACGTTCCCCCTGAAACCCTACGATTCCCCCCCCTCCAAAATCCTCTAACAACTCCCCTCCCCTCCCCAGGTGATAAAGGATGACTGATCCCTAACACTTACCAACAAACACCATCCAAGTGCGATCGGAGAATGCCAACATAACCAAAGCAAGAATCACGGATACCAAACTGGTGCGGACGACACTCAACTCTTTGAAGCAGCGTTCTAAGCAGTGAATGCCAACTACGCTTCCAACACCATGCACAAACCCTTCGAATGCAAAGTAATACCCAACCAGGTGTGGACCCCAACAAAGGGGGCTCCTCAGGACGAACAGGCCTTTTACACCAGCAATTCCTAGGGTTGATAGGAAAATCACGCCTTCGCAAACCATCAGCAAGAGAAAATTCTTTCGTCCAGCCTTTCTCTGCTTTCGGAAAACATTGATAAAACAATTTATATTTTCAATGCTGAAAAATCCAACCATTTTTCCGTTGTTCTTTCCTCGGGGAATTTCCCGCACGAAAAATAGGGCCCAGACCCCAGAGAGAACATAGCAGGCTAACATGAACCAAGCAGAAGGAATGAATCCCACATTTTGAATCCAAAGACCGCTGGTCAGTTGACTGATGACTCCAGCGAGGAATACGTGCATGTACAGCACCGCTGGAATATAAGGAAAGTAAAGCAAAGCAGTTATCTTGCACGATGTAGCGACACGTCATGCTCTCCTGATAAGCAAGTATTAGTGATTAAGTAGCGTATATTCGCAATGAGTTCTCATATTAGCTCTGCGCAATAATCCTTCACTTTGATTGGCTGTTGTAATCCCTTTGGTTTGGG